TGATGTGGAAAGAAAGAGAAGGTAATATTATTTGAGTTGCTTACTACTGGAGAATGTGTGTCCATTTTTTTGGCTTCTGATGAATAACTGAGGAGAAAGCTGTGCAATCTGTAGCTGATGTTTGTTTAGGAAGGGGAGAGCCATAAGTTACAGTGGAGCTTGCCCAGACCTGAATCTGCAACTTCCTCCCACAGCCGCCTCCACACGGCACTTGTGCACCGGCTTCCTTCGGATCGGTTTAACCAGACCTAGGAGCCAACATTCCAAATATCTGTTTAGTAAGCAAGTCCTGGGGACTTCTGTCTGTGACTGACTTAAGCCTTCGCTTCTGAGTAAACACTTGGTGCCATCTGGGTGACTATTTTATAACTCCTGAAAGGGATAGGTTCGCAGGAACGTACGGACGGACGCTCATTTTCCCCAGGAACTAAAAGCAGTGTATCGAGTGTCGAGAGGAATAGTTATCGTATATTTTACAAGAGATGGCTGTGCTACCTTCCCTCACCTGTCACTCTCTGACACAGCACGCACAGGCTTAAGCTGGGGATACCAGATCAGGCAAGCTGCGGAGCCAGCTGTGACCCTGCAGAACACAGTCCCCAGCTTCTGCCTCTAAATCCCACGTCTTGGCAAAACCACACTACAGAGCAATACAATCCCTCCTTTTTACTCTCTCAAGGTTCATCAGCTACAGTACAATTTATCAGGGAACTTAAGCCTTAAACATCTCCCATATTGCTTCATAAAGTGCATGTAATACAGGAGAAAAGTTCAAAATATAATCACAGCATTTATTCATAAGACACCTGAAAGGTACTAAAGAGACATCTACTACTTACAGAGTAATTCAGAACATAGCAGAGAAATTAGAGACAGTACAAAAAAAGGCTGAGAATCAGTCATGATTTTGGACTACTCCCATAAAACTACCACCATAAATGATAAGAAAAATACATACATATACCTGGACTTGGGGAGTGTTAACTGATTCACAGAAACACAGGAAAACTTTGCATCCTTAATAAAAGGGCTCAAATATACCCATATATATGTCAAATTTACAATAAAATGTATTTGCATGAATAATGCCTGAGTCAAACAAATATACTTAGAACTACTGAAATGGCTAATTTCAGTAGGGTTCTATGTAAATCCTATAAAATTTATGACATATTTCTTCTTACAGATTATCATATTTTGCATTACAATGCTGTTTCTTTTCTCTAATTCTTCATGTATGATTGATAAAATTGTATTAACAAGACTTATGTATGTACCTTAAATAAATGCACAAAACCACATGGGATTCTAATCCCATCTCTTTCTGAATTCTCTGGTATTGCTACAAGTAAGAAGTTTTGTTAAATGTTAATACTGTTAGGATTACAGTGTGAAATTTTCTGTTAACTTGCATCAGACAGGAAGATCCAGAGTTCTAATTTATTTTTCAGATGCACTTTCTGAGCTATAAAATTTCAATTTCAAACTCATAAAATAATTTTTGCATCTTAAAAAGTAGTGCTATTGTTTTGCCTGTTTTGCAGTTTAGCATATGCTCATCTACCTAATAGGTTGCTACAGCTGTTGGGTATTTATGAATTCTGCCATACATACTGCCTTGAAGTTTCCCTCATTCCATACTATAATGGCTGTGTCTGTCAGTTGGACACTTAAAAATATATTTTTCCCTCCAAGTACCAATCCCGTCATTCTCTTCTGTATTTTCTCATGTTCCTATGTTGCTCATACTTCTGAGCTGTGTGGAATTCCTGCTCATAAGGGTTGCACAAACACTTTTAGACACAGAGTCACTGACATCTTTTTAGACTTTTGCAGATGTCAGTAGCACAGACAAAAAAAAAAAAACCCCCAAAAAAAACAAAAATAGAAAACCCCCAAGAATTTCTACTGCATGCTGTTACATACTTGTATAGATTACCTACAGGCAATTCTCCCTGGATCAACCAGCTGCTGCAGTGAAGCAACCTCAGTCTTTTGCAGCCTTCACCCTCCCTGTGCTAAGGATGGAAGCATGGTACAGATCTGTGTATGGGGAGAACATTCTGACCCCGAACAACACTACTGATGGTCTACTTTATACAGAAATAAGAATATATGATAGACCTCATTCAGCTTACTCCACAGATGTATGATATCTATGGAAACACACAGGAATGGAAAATTGCACAAGGCAGTAGAGCTCTGTATGATGCCATCATTTACCACCTGTGTGCAATTGCACTGGGACAGAAGGTTGATGACCCAGGCCCAGTTGTCTAGTTTGAGCAAAACCTGGTCCCTTTTAATATTCCCTTCCTTACTGTCCAAAAGTCATACTTAGGACTTAGTTCTAACAGTGTGTCATCATTTTCACTTCTCTCCCTGCCCCCCAGCAAAATTCATTTATCTTTTAGATAAAAATAAATAATTTTCACACTAGGAAAAAAATAACAATTACTAGAAGCAGAGAATAAATTTATGATATTATGCCTTCATCCCAAATGAATGGAACATTTTAAAACTTTAACAGGACTCATAAATGAAACACTTACATCATATTTTGGCTATAACAGCATGAATGGTTCTGACATAGTAAGTTCTCATTAAGTGACATATGAACTGTGATATTATCTGACCTACTATTTATTCACAGCATGATATGAATCTTCCTTTCATGATTATATATCTCAAGAATCACAGCCACACAGAAGTCACACAAATAAAACTACTCTGAAAACAGAATTTTCCCTTAGCCACCATCACTCATGTAATTAATCTTTTAGCTCTTGCCAAGAGAAACACACAACGATTTACAGTGGCCAAGAGAGAAAGCCTTCCTACTGAGCCATGTATTCCCACTCTGCTGTAATCTGTCTTCAAACTGCTAAACCCATAATACTCACTCTTGTCTACATCAGTTACTAACATCCCTCTGAAGACTGTCTGCTTTCCTAAAAGTTAAACCTTTTCTTTTAAAAAGTGTAAAGGAGACCATCAGTAAATGTACCACACAGACACCTTGTTGTGCTGGAATCAATGAACTGAAACATTTCCAAAGCATTCTGTAATCAAAGAAATGCAATATAAAAAAATGTTAAGTTCCTAGAGATGTCCAAGTGAGGGCCACAAGGAGAAAAAAGGCCCTTGCAGGGAAGAGCAGCTGAGGTCACTTGGTCTGTTCAGCCTGGAAGAAACTGAGGAGAAACCTCACTGCAGTTACAACTTCCAAATGAGGGGAAGAGGAGGGGCAGGCACTGATCTCCTCTTTCTGGTGATAAGTGACAGGACCCAAGGGAATGGTCTGAAGCTGGGTCAGGGGAGGTTTAGTTTGGGCATCAGAAAAAGATTCTTCACCTAGAGGGTGGTTGAGCATTAGAACAGGCTCCACAGGGAAGTGGGGACAGCACCAATCTGATAAAGTTCAAGAAACATTTAGACAATACTCTCAGGCATGTAGTGTGACTCTTGGGGATGGTCTTGTGCAGGGCAGGGAGTTGGACTTGACAATCCCTTCCAACCTGTGGGTCCCTTCCAGCTCAGCATATTCTCTGATTCTTGATATCATACTACTGACCTCTGAGTGTGATTCTTAGGAAAGCTAAGTGTCCACAACTTAAGACAAGGAACACATTAAAAAAAAAGAGACTTAACATATCCAGGTACTTCTATCAGAACAGATATACTAATTTCCCAATCATTTACATAAAAATTTCTCAAAAAGACTGTTCTATGGTCTTAGAACACACACAAAATAGATATCCTCAGGTTTTTTCCTGTCTTATCTTCAGACATGTCTGATTCCTATTCCTATGATCCCTTCAAGTCCTGTAAGAATCTATCTAAATCAAGACATACTCCAATGCATCTACTACAGTACAATTTCAGGTTACTAATAATATTTTAATAAAATATTAACTCTTCTTAACACAGTTTGTATACTCAAGAACTAAAGGATATAAAGGGACCTGTTTACCTCCAGCAAGATATGAACTGCAGCAAAAAGTCACTGATCTTGGGACAAAACACTAGCTTCTTCCCAGGAAATACAGATACAGGATATTAAAATTCATAATCAAAAAAACAAGTATTCTAAAACATGGCAACTTATTTTTGACACCTGAAGAGTGGAATTTATCTCTATGTTATGGGTCTTCAATGTTTGTAGTTCTAATGGAGATCCTGCTGCTACAGTGTTGGAAATTAAGGGAGGGAAAACACAATGTATAATCATTTATGCTATGAATAACAGTTGTTTTGAAGTTTATTTAGGATTATATGGGTAATATGAATAGTATAGATGTGGCTCATAATACTGCATCTGGGAGAAGAGCTATTGATGTTGTGAAAGTACAGCCTGGAATTTGGAAGATTTTCTCTCTTTTTTTTTCTTTTTAATTTTTGCCACACTCTTTTGCACCATTTTGAATTGTTTTTGCCCAAATAGACTGTTCTGAAGGGAAGGATTTTTCATCTCAGTTCTTGAGCAAAACCACTAGAATTCATAGACTTCATACAGGATTTATTACTTTTATGAAGTAAACAAGGCATGCCCTGGAGTGTTTTCTTCAGGCTTTGTACATGCTTGGGGCCTGGACTGCAAGGAAATTAGGAATATTTTCCACCATCCATACAGTAGTATCTAGCCAGAATACCATACCCTAAAAGCATTGAGCATTTTTGCAAGCTTTTACTGAAAAATGCTTTTCTCTAAAATAACAAAGGAATTCTTTCACTTGAACAAGTCTGTACTATTTATACCTCTAATAAACAAGATAATATCCTTGTTAGAATTTGGAAGGAGCAAGATGTTTCAAACCTGCTTATTTTTTTATTTTAATAGAATTCCCTTCACAATTCATATAAAAAATGCAGAGGCACTATGAAGAAAGGGACTTGACTTTTAGATTTATTAGTGGGAGTATTCACATTGCAAATTAGTTAAAAACATGCAGCATTTCTTAGAGATTTTCTTTTGGTTGTTTTTCTTTACATGTACTCACACTTAAGGTGGCTGGTCCTGGAGGTCCTGCATCTCCCTAGTTAAAACAGGAGAGGAAGTAAATCAACAATCTCTTTAGTTATACATATTTAACCTCTAGACCTTTTAGAGAACATGCAGCACTGCAGAAGTGATTTCACTGCAATCATCAAGCATGTTGATTATGGAAATATGTGAATAAAGTGATATTCTTCTCCAGCAATGGCAGAGATATACACAGTTTACCACAGGTTAAAGGGAAAAGAAAGCACCAGGCCTCTGCATAAATGAATCATAGCTTAAAAAAGCAATCCTTCAAAACACATTTCCATATGTCAAGTTACAAGCTGCAGCTTACATGCACAAGGTGGCTGCTGAAGGCAGCGTGACAGCTCACATATGTAAAGAAATCTGACTGTGAATATTCACAGAATTAGGTCATCGAGGTACAAATCACATCTGAGACCTTCAGGCTTAGTTCATGGGAGCAAATTAGTGCACCCAGAGAGCAATTCAGAACACCAAATTTAGCCTCCTGCTCAGAACTCCTTTTAAAATTCATTGTAATGGTGTCTTTTGCATTACAGTTAGCCTGTGCTTTAACGTGTAACTTTAACCCTTAAGTTGCACAAATGGCAGCAGTGGGTGTTTGCCACACACAGTTACTGCAACGTGTTCAAAACTGAGGAATATCATGCACACTTACATATACATACAACTTAATAGATTTAAAAAGGTACCTTTTCTCCTTTTGGACCATCTGCACCAGGACTACCAGGGTCGCCTTTTAGTCCCTGGGCAAAAAGAGAAATGCATATTTGTTGTCATCTGTGAAAAATTCTGGGACAAAATCTTGTAGCGCTGTGAAGTAGTATAGACTCAACAAATAGACCTTAAAATTCTATCATGTTATTAGTGCTATCTCAAAATTCTTTATTTTCATTATTTTGTGAACAGACACATATCTATCAAAAACCACATGTGTCTTCAACACATAATTAAACATACGAAGCCATCTACTTTATTGTGCCCCATTATGGTAAGTACTGAGTAGAAATGCAAAGTTCTTTTGCAGTCTTGCATGGCCAAAAAAGATAAAATAGAACATTAGAGAGAGTGCTAGTACATTCACTTGAACTCTGCTAAAATTGGAAAAGAGGCAGAGGTGGTCAGAGAACTGCAGATTTTATGTTTCAAGTAGCAGTGCTGAACTGATGAGCTCCAGGAAGGTACAGCTCAGAGCTGCTGCACACCTTCCAACACTCATTTTCACTGGTATTCACAAAGGCAGTTAGAGAAATAATCTATTTCCTTCACACCTCCTTCTTTAGTTCTGCCTTCAACAGGACAAGCAATTAGTACTGCCTACACTTTGCATACACAGCCATTTCACATCGCAGGATCAGAGTAGTTTGGGTTGGAAGGGACCTCTCAAGATCACCTGGTTCAACCTCCCCTGCAGCAAACAGGGACATTGCCAGCTGGATCAGGCTGCTCCGAGCCTATCCAACCCATTCATTAATGTTTGCAGGGATGGGATATCTACAGCCTCTCTGAGAAACCTTTTCCAGTGTTCATTGTTTTCATTATATAGTGTTTCCTACTTACACCTATCTGAATCTACCCTCTACAATATCTCTTATACAACTCTTCCACTAAGAAGTCCTCACCAGAAGCACCCAAAAAATCCCCATAAAATATCTATAGTACCCAGCACACAATCTTTGTTGTCTTCTCCTTGCTGCAAAACACATGGAAAAATGAATGGTTTCAAAATATGCCTAGCAAATTCAAGCCATTCTATAGCAATGAATGAACTTAATTATCATGCTGGACCAACCTACCAGAAATTCATTTTTATTTAAGTCAAGAGATTTGTCTTGTGCCTTCCCTCTGACTACTGCTTTAGTGGCATGAGAGACTGTGTGTATTGAAAGTCAGAGACACCTCTACAAGTTAAAAGATTTTACTTAAAAATGAAACGGCAACAATGGAGGCAATATGAGACCCAATCATAATCATAATAAGATGCTCCACAAGCAGACCACCATCTTTATTATTCTAGAGGTTAAATAGGTCAAGGGTAGAAAAAATTAATTTACATTTGAACTAGGGCTTACAAACTAAAGTTCTTCCCAACTCCCTTTTTTGTCCCTGCAAACTCTCTTCCTCAGTTTGCAATTATTAGGAAGATAGAGACAACTGGCACGAAAATGGTGACTAACATCTGTGCCTTGGTGGGTACAGAAACATGAAATCAATGAGTGTTCTAAATACTGCGTATTTGTGCAACTTCACTTCCTGCTAAAATTACATTAATTCACCATCTGGAAGGAACATCATTTAGAACTATATGAGCATTTAAGTACCCACTTTGGATTAAATTTGTGGTTGTTGTAAATACCCCTGATTTAGCTTTGATTTGTTCTTTATTAGGCTTGCCAAATATGTAATAGTTAAATCAGAAGTAGTTTTGCTGTTTGAACTTAAAAAATGTAATAGGCAGATGGATTCAAAAACCAAGCCAAAAAATTGCTTTCTTTTTACAATCTGCATATTTATGACATAGCTTTAATATTGCCTCCATTTGTTACATTTTACTTTCAGCCTCCTTCTGAAAGACTGCATAAAACACAACCAATCCATACTCTTAAAGCCATTTTAAGGATTTTTCAGGTATGCAAACTGTATGGATTTGGTTCAAAATCAGTAATAGCAAATCAGCCATGGAACAATAGTTATGAGTTTAGGAATTAGCTCTTAGGCTGTATGTTTACAGAAGATAAAAGATAAGGCAAAAAAAATGTGCAACTCACAGATGGTGACATATATCTGTGTGTCTCTACTGAATAGAAAATGCAACTGCAGATGAAAGATGCTGAGCCTCAGCCACGCACTTTCAAACTACAAACCTTATTTTTTCCTAATTGCTGTGTTTAAAACTTTTATCTGCAAGGGCACCTCAGTGAGGTGTGCAGTCTGAGAGCTACTGCAGAGATGATGGCCATAGCAATTGACCTCAAATAAAAAGGACAAGGGGAAACTACATGCTTTACAGGAAACTTTATAGTGTTTGAAGGAGAATTTTAAAGGATCCAATGTTACAGACTCATTATGAGAATTTCTAGTTTGCCTACACATTATTTATGCATTTAAAAATATTATAATCTTAGTAAATTTCAGACATAGTGAATGCTTGCAAAAAGCACATCTGGGAATGCACCATGCCTATCCTTCCCTACAGTGACCTTTGTGAAGCTGCTGAGAGGTTTAGCTGTTGGCTCACTGTCTCTGAAATGCCATAAGAAGAAAGAATTCCTGTGCCAAGTCAAATCTGCTTTTAGCACAGTACAGTAGGGTATCCTGTCTCTGGCAAAGACCAGAACAGGATGCTGCAGTAAAATTAATGTGGTTATCTAAACAGATACAATTTGGATGATTTTAGACCAAGCCTTAAGTTAGAAAAGCTCATTTTCTGCAATATTTTAGGAGAATAAAGTCAGCTCTGAAAACACACGAATTTCTATTGATCTGAGGAATATTTTACCAATTTTGCCAGAAATTCAGGTACAGATTAGAAATTTCAGCAGTTCTTATAAGAGAGAGTAAATTAATTGGGTATTGAATTCTATCCCTGTCTAATTCTAGCTTTTTAGGACCAATATAATAATATACATTTGTGAGTTCATGAACAGTCTTAAGCTGAAGCATTTTGTTCTCTAAAAGGACTACAGCTTGGTCTTTTTATAGGTCATGATAAATTTACATTATGGGTCCTCTATGGAAACCAAAATGTAAAGTAAGCATTAAAATATGTATATAGAAGACCAATTCAAAGCTAACAAGATAATAATACTGGAAACAGCAAAAATGAGAAATGTTCTATATACATACATAAAATAAGACTGATAACTTTAATGCAATTTCCAACCAACAGAGAAATTACTGGAACAAGTATATCACAAATATCAGTAAGGGTGTGAACTGAGGTCAATGAGGGAAAGATTAAATTAGAGGCAGTGTTTTTGTTTGGAGGGGATGACCGGTACTTCTGGTGGAATGAATGAAAAACAGATAAAACAGGTAAAATGTACCACCAGCTGACACCAGGTACTGTTCTCAATGAAAAATGGCAAAGATCAGCTGGACCCAAACCAGAAGACTCCAGCAGCTCCTTGCAGGAGCCAAATGTTGCCTACAGGAATTGTATCTATTTGCACACAGCATAAACTGTGCTGCGCACATGACAATGGAAAATGCAGTCAGACTGCAATCATGTATTCAGGACAACAGGTTTTCAACTCTAAAATATACCTTTTGGGGAAAATGTAATTTGTTATTTGCAATCCTGTGGCCTTCATTAGAGTAATCTGGTTCAATGTATATTATCTACTATACTGGAAATACATACACAACTCAACACTCTAACCAACAATGTGCAGCCCCATTATTACAGATCAGATCAATTATCTCTACTGAGTAACAGAGCTTGGGAATACTCTAACCACTAATAGCAGTACTACATTTCCTTCACAGAGCAACCTTAAAATCTAAGTCAACAATAGCTTCAAAGTCAGTTGTACAATGCCAACCTGGATATGCTGGGATAACTTTTCTAATTTAGCAAAGTTTTTTCATAGCTCCAAACAATATACTTTCTCTCAGTTTATGTCTCAGGTACTTTTAAATGCTGATACTGCTGTTTTCTCATTAATGGAATTCCAAAAACTTCAAACTGGTATAGTACTAGAATTCACTGGACTCTTAGTATTGCAATGCTAATACTAAGACAGTGCAAGATTAGACAGGCAGGTCCTGAGGGTGTGAAGATAAACAACTATTGCTATTATAACAAGACGCAGGATCCCTTTAAAAATTATCATACTTCTGATTACCTTTTCCAACAAGCATCAAAATAAAAAGGTCTCTTATGGTTTCCATCTTTCCATTGAAAACCTGGGATTCTTTTATTGCTTACTGAACTTAAGAGGTCCATCCTATCCCAGGAGCATAAAGAATAAAATTTTATGTAGGAAAGTTTTAGAAAAGTCACTTATGGCATTACTTCCCCCAGTAAGAGAAATAAAAATAACCAGTAAAACACTTGGTTTAATATACATCCTAGATTTTAATTTCAGATTTGTTTTACTTTTTTTTTTTCCCACTTACAAGAAAGACACTATTCCTCCACCAGCTATGCATGACACATGCTGACAGATATAATAAAACTTGCTGTTTTGACTTACTTTTGCCAAAGGATTTAATTTAAGTCAGAAAATAGTAATTGGCAGTATCCCATGGCATTCATTCCTACCTGCACCAGTGATCAAGAAAACAACATGACTCAAAAAAAGTCTAAAAGTTTCAGTGGTAAAGATCTTCTTTTCACTTCAGATCAACAGGCAGACATAAGGATATAACAGAGAACATATTCAACAGATATATACACATTGCAAATTTGTCCTTATTCCACACAGGCTATGAGTGTTTTTATCATTTTTTTTTCAGATAGTGTGTCTATGAAGCTCCATTTGTTACAGTGATACAGTGATACAAATGACAGAATTATTAGAGAATCACAGAATCATTAAGCTTGGGAATGACTTCTAAAATCATCGAGTCTAACCTCTCACTGATAACCACCTTGTCCACTAGACCAGACAACTCATAACTTCTCAGTTACAAAAGTAAATAGGTCTCACACCCAATGTAAAACAAAATATCGAAAAGAATGGTGAAGGGAAACAACATCTAAAAAAAATTACAGGATTTTAGTCGCAGCAATATGGCACCTGCATTTTATGTCAAGTGGCTAAAAGAGTCTCAAGGGATGAAAGAGATACTATTCAAGCAAACTGACTGTTCAACCTATAAAAGCAAATACCATGCTTAGAGACATGAGCGTGTACTACAGGAGGGCTATATTAGTAATATATTAAGTTATTTATAACTACTCCTTAGGAAACTAAAAACAATGGCAACCACAGTAGTAGTATTTATAGCAAGTATTCATGTTGTCAGATGTATTTTGAATAATATCCCAGGCTGGGACACAGCATAGTAGAACTTGGCTCAGATTACTGGAGAGATAAACTGGGAGATGTGTGAAACATTTAGACATATTCACAGTTCCCGCCTCGAAACCTGGTTCCCAATGAGATTAACTGAGCCAGTAAGCACGAGTGAGAGAAGAGGAAATTAAAACTTTCTAGGTATATCATCACTACAGCCTAGTCTCCAAACTAGGTCTGGCTTCCCCTCTGTCATGCTACTTCTTTCTAGCAAGAACTTTCTGTACAGCTAAGAAAACACAAGTTAGCAACAGCAAGCAGAAGTTTTTTGTGACACCTACTTTTATGATTTTGATTAAAATACATTCAAATATGTTTCTACCATTTGTTCAAGAAAAAATGTTCAGTCATCATCTTCTAGTTCTTGTGAGGATGGAAACCCTCACTCCCCCAGGCAGAGGCAACACCTGCCAGAAGGCAATGCCACCAGCTTTAAGTGTTTTCAGGCTGTTTTTATACAGCAGTGCAGATTACACCAATGTAAGTAGATTAACTTGATTATTGCAGAAATATCAGATGTTACATTTCTGCTTGCAGAGCAAGTTAGAGACCCTGATAGAAACTAGGAGTCAATGATACACAGTCCTGTAAATTTAAGGACTGATAACTCCATACAAAGTGATAATTGAGTTCAAAGCATTTTATCTAAGTGTTGCAAAAAGGAATTATATATGGTTTCAGATAATACAATGCTATACTGCCATATGCAGTTTAACTTCCATTTTAATGTTTTAATGACAGTTCCCTTAATAATAATCTACCATCTACTGACACATTGCAACAGTTCAGTAAATGTTTAAAAATATAAGTGTTCAGTATTTTTCACTTTCACAGTGCCACTATGGTAAGTATGTCCTAGAGTTAATCAGATACTTGGTATACCTTACTCTTCCTAAAAGGTTGATGGAACAAGATCTCATGTAGTAAAGAAGATCATGTAAGACCAAGACAGAAATGTCACCAGAGCTATGGAAAGAAACACAGATGTGTTTTTTCCATGCTGTCAGCATATATGTATGTATGAGAGTTCATACGGTTCACCTTTACAGACAGACAGGCTACAAGAGAATACCTCTACAAATACCTAAATGTAGTTTCAGCTTAGTGCGTGTAGGACTCACTTGAAGGATATCCACTATTACTTAAAAGTAGCCTCATTTACCCAGCATTAAATTATAATTACCTAAAACAGGAAAAATATTTTTTGTGTGCATAAAAAGCCAGGTAATGTAAAACGTGTCATAATTTTGTAGCCTGTGTTACTGCATTTTCAGTAGCCCCAGCTACACTGCCATAGTATATTTGTGTTAAATGCTGACCTTTTTATTCTTTCAGAAAAGATGCTTTAAAAAGTATTACTGAATGTTTTTTCCAAGTCCTGTATCTGGATTCTAGTCCTAATGTCAGTCATTCCCCATCTGGGAGATGCTCTCTGTCTTCAACAGCAATACTTTGCAAGAGTATCCAGCATTAAAACCTAAAGTCAGGGTAACCCCCATCAAGGGCAAGAGTGAGAAGGACAAGGGGGTATAAAGCAAACTTTATCTCCAGGGAGATCCAGTTTCTAAATCCATCACTGCTTACACAAAGTCTGAATTGCATTTCTTAACCACTCATCCAGAAGTTTTAAACTTGACTCTTTCATTATTGTTCCATTTACCTCTGTTCCAGGAAGGCCTTCTGGTCCTGGTTCTCCTTTATCTCCTTTTTCACCCTAAAAGAATTAATATTTATTTTATTATATATATTCATGACAAATACTAACCCACAATGCTTTTAACAGCAAAAATATTTTATCATTCTGGTCTGTTCTACATGTACATTTCTGAATTCACAACCAAAACTATTTCTTACATTCCAACAGAAATTGTTTCCAAATAGATGTCCCTGAAAAATGTCTAGCACTCTGATAGGTATAGTTCTCTGTACTTCATTGTGTCATTGAACATCCATAAAGACTCACCACAGAAGAACATTCTTGTTTCTTGTAGTGTTTCAAGAATATTTTAGTGAAACAGAAATTTACACCAGGGAACAGTTTTGTATTGAAAATCATAATCTTAATATTGCATTTTTTTTTCATTCTGAGATTCAGTTTTGTTATCAGATGCTTAAAGTAAATGTTTATTTACAAAGTCCTCAGTATTATCATTTGTCTTTGACCCATAATGGTATATTATTCAGTATTTGCATTTGAAAAATGGAAAAAAAGTCTGTTCTTAAAATTCTTATAAGTATGAATATGCACATCATCATTAATCAAAAGAAAAAAAATGGCAGGAAGTTTCCTTCAAAATTGACTATATCTGGTTCCTGAGTTTGCTCATGAAACACTGACTACAAAACACAATAATCTGTGTAGAATACATGAAAGAATTCAGTTTCATATTAACTCTAACAACTATGTTATTCTAGTTAAGACATATTTTATCAAAGCAAATAAAATACACATGCTAAAGAAGCATAATTTAAGAGAAAATACCTTCCAGAAGCAACAAGCTTGAAGAGTTCCATAAATGAATCTCTGTCCCTCAAATGAAGTTTGTCAAATCATAATAAGTAGCCATAAAGTAACATACTTCTCATAGTAGTGCAAGGACTGACTTAATTAGAGTCCAGGCTCTTCATATAAACAAAAAAAACCAAAGGGCTCTTCACTGAATTTCCATTATCTCCAGGGGACTACATTTGTTTGAGCAAAGCCTATTCATTATATCAGCATCATCTTCATAATTCTGTTAGGTAAATGGCATTGAGCTGAGATTATTCAGCTAACTGCATTTGTGACACAGCCCTGATTCAGAGCTATTTCTCCCGTGGCAATGAGAGAGGGCATTTCATCTAATAATCAGTTTTGCAAAGTGAGTGCATGAGCTTTGTTGAACAACTGAAGCCTACTAACAAATTAGCAGCAGCAAACTGCGAATTTAATAATCCCACTCCCAAGATGGCTTTGCTGCTTCACTTTTTCCATTTTAATACATCTTGTTGATAAGAAACGTAATGCTACATGTTAGTTTAAATTATACAGTTAAGGTTTTCCCTCAAGTATTCCCTTTCTTACTGGTCAAAAAAAACCTCCACCAGATAAATCTGGTGGAGGTTTACTGCAAAGTTCAAATAACACCAAACAGCTACAGGAATTTAACACTTATTATTTTAGTGTGTTTAAGCTATAGAATCCTCTTTGTTCTATGGATTAAGATGCTGGCTGAGAAAGTAATTTTCTTTCACTGTCAGTTTAAAAAAATAACCCAGTTGAAATCCCAGGTGTACTGTTCTTTTTAAATAGCTCACTTAAACTTTTAGAACTGCAAAAATGACATTATACTTTTCATCACTGTGACATACTGAACATTTAATACTGCTTTCAGAATATTTCAACTAGCATCAGATTACACTGCTGCAATCTTGCAACAGTTATAAAGGTAAATTCATATATTTGACATAATATTTCCTTATCTGAATATATTTCTAGAATATTTACAAATCATTCCAATTTATGGAGCAGGTTTTCTTTTTTTTTCCTATGGCTTGTGTATCTGCTTTCATACTTTAAGAAAAATGATACAAATATGTACAGATTTCCTTCAGAAGTAGTAGCATCCTTTAAATGCCTTGATGTATAGGTGGATGCAGGAGCCTAATCATCCCACAGGTGGAGACCTAAGGTAAAACTATCTTGTCATAATTTTTTATGCAACACCTACACTGCCATAAAAAGCTGAACAGAGAGCCCAAATAAAAGATGCCTGTCCTCTCAGCCCCACTTATCATTTGCCTGGCTGTGAGATGAGCAGTACATGTTGGTGAACGTGCCTTTTCCTCTCCAGCAGGCAGACAGTAACTTCAAAATGCCACCAGGCAGCTCTAGACACATACAAGCATAGCTGGTGAGTGCAGGGAGGAAAGAAACCCCCCATTCCTTATGATTTACACAATATTTGGATATAAGATGTTTCTCAGTTTCTTTGACAAAATGATAAAAAACACCCCCTGTTAATGAGCCTTGGACCTCTGCAGAGCCTCTGGCTTTCTGCCAGGCGAGCAACTTTACATGAACATACCAATTTTTAATGGAGTACACAATTTGTACTTGCCAAGCCTATCATATGGAATGTCCATACGATGTTCTCTATGAAGCCAGAACTCAAACCAAACAGGGGCCCAATTTTTACAATTTATTCTCACAAGAACTGAGCCAAGTCATATTCATTTCTGTCTTTATGAAGCACACTATACTGCATAATTTACAGCTTCAAGTCTAGCCAATTTGCAGAGTTGCTGAAGCTACTCTGCAGTGTAGAGGAAGCTGTTAATAATCAACATTGTGACTTTGTACCTTATAGAATAACAAAAAGAGAGAAAAATGCATTAATGTCACTTTATATGAAGTGCTCCTGCCTGCTTATATTACATTCAGATGAGACAATTAAAGACTATTTATTGCAAAAATAGGATGACAAAACTCTGAAAGCATCAAGCCTTTTTTATTAGTTAACTAAAACTAACCCGATGTAACACTGAAATATTTGTATTTCTTTGGGTGAATTCTGCATTCCAGTACCCTGATGGAACAAGCGGATGGGGTTGCTCCAGAACAACTGCTGGGAGGGGCTCTGTCTGCTGTGTGTAATAGTGGATGCACTAAATTCAGTTATAGCATTCTTTATTTAGGGCCAGGGGTACCTGCACAGCCTCTGCAGAATAAGAGTACCAGCGTCCAACTCACTTGTCTGCTTTAAGATTGCCTCATTTTCCTTGCACACTATTCCCCCCATGTTAGAATGGCAAAGTAATATGTTTGGAAATATAATACATCACAACCTAAAAATTGAACTAAACAGATAAAGACTTTTCTGCAACACTGCCCTGTTAATAATACAAATAAGGAATTTCTGGTGTCAGTTTTTGGAAGAATTTTAAAGTGCCATTGTTAATTAACACTTGCTCAATTACTCTCCAGAGTACACAAGCTATATAATTCCACTAAATCAGTGTGGACACATTATAATTTTAAGCCTCTGAAACTCCATGATTTTACCTTCATATCTTTAAGACAGTTATGACTTGTAATTTTTTAATACTTATGTTCCTGTTATGTTACAGCTCTGGCTCAGCAGAATGTTCTACATTAATTTTATTTTCTTGTGACCACTTCTCCATAGCTTCTTTTAAACTGATCTCAGCTCATAATAATGCTTGTTGATTTTTCTTGAGTAAGTTATGAATGAAAAAAAATTACATCTACAGTTAAAAAACCCAACCTTTGTTTCTTTCTGATTTTCTGATAGATGTCTGAAGAGCTGGGGTTATGAAGAGCTCCACCCCTATAATATTCTTACTGCTTGACCTTCCACAGTATATGGGATAAATCTTCCACAAAATATGGGATAGTATGCTTTAGGAAAGTGGCAATACACAGGGTGAAGCACCTCAGGACTGCTGAGAGATTGAACCATTTAAAAGGTGTGGAAAACAAGGCAAACTAATGATTTTGACTCAGTCCAGACTGGCAGGTACTATACAAGGAAACATAAGAGTAACACATGAAGCTCATTTCCAAACAGGCTGTAACCTGTAACATGGGAGTATTTCCTAAGCAGGATCAGAAGGGGACAGCATAATACATTGCAGAAATACACTTCTATTATGGAAAACAAAAATCAACAGAGATGGTCAGGAAGGATGTCACCTTGAAGCCTGTGTCTTCCCAAGTCCCTATATTTAGGATTCTCAGACAAACCAATAAATCAGGTGATCCCAAAGCTTTAAAGAAATCAGACAGCTCACTAGACACACTTATCAAGAAACAATGACTAAAAATCAGCTGATTCCAAACTGTGCCTTTGCTGTCTTGTGAAAGAGTCTTAAAAAGTGTTGTGCCTGAACATACTGGATACCATGTCGGGAGAAAGATCTTTCCATCCTGCTTTTTTTTACATAGACTGAGCAATACTGAAAATATTCACAATGGCTAACTACTGTTTGGTGTCACATGTCACACTCCTAAGTAAGCTCTAAGCATTTCTATCCAGAGAGGCCACATAAAGGCAAATCACCACCTCAACTAAAGGCAAAACCTTAGGCACAGGACAGTCTGAATCCAGGCCAGCCCAAGGCTCCAAAGCTGCACCAATGAACTGCCTCATTTTGTCAGCAGGAATGAGGCAGCCATCCACTTTTATTCTTTGTAGAAAAACCTTAAAATGCAAAATGAAAATAGAAATGCAAAATGAAAAAGCAAAAAAATACAAAAACATTTTTAAAAGGCTAAACTCCATTCTCCATTTGTCAAATGCAAGCTAAAAAAAACCCCAACTATTCTGGATTACTTGCCACTGATGAGAAAAGTAAGAAATAACAGCTAGTTCAGGGCACCATATTTTTCTGCTCTTCTTCAAACTAGAATGACAGAAAGTGTGAAAAATAGTTAGAAGGAAAGAATGAACACAGGACATGGTGATGGATCTCAAATATGGGAAAAAATGTTAGAAGTGGGACATCAAGGTGTGGAATTTGTGTTAAAAAGGCAGAGAAGTACTGTAATGATCTAAGATTAGAATTAATTTGCCTTAACTGTAGATTTTGCTTGAGAATGCTCTAAGCAGACTTGACGATGCTCCATTGTATGTGTGTCTTCCTGTGAGTGAGGCAGATATAACCCTGAACACAATTTCAGGTTACATTTCCTCCCCACTCCTCCCCACTGCT